CAAGGGGTGTGCAAGTTAACAAGGGAGGGAAAAAAAATCCGCACATTTTGTTGGTTGGTGTTGTTTGTCTCTGGTCAAGCTTCGGAAACACGTGTTCTCGAAAAAACCGGAATCCAAAGTTGTATAAAGGACCTTTTTTGAAAAAAAGTTGGTCTTTTAAAAGCAAGTCAACGAGCAGATTTTTAACTCTTGTACAATGAGAGGTTGAAAACTATTTTACCTTTGACATAGCCCAGTTCTTGCGCCAGTGACGCAGGTGCGGAAGTATCTATTACTCAGTGAGATGATTTTTTGTGGTGCATTGCGATTTTTTTTTTTTTTGTCATCTGGATGTGACATTGGGGTGCGTCTGTCTCCTCTGCCCCTCTGATGCCATGTGGGTCTTTGGGAATGACGGAGGTGGTATTTGTGTATACTTCCTGTTTCCGGAGAATTTCCAATAGATCATAAATTGCACATAGCCACGGCTGAGTGTGTGTGTTGATGTGCGTCTGGGATTTCTAGTTGTGTCGTGTTGGGGGGAAATGAAGGAGAGTTTTAGCCTGTCGCGGCAAATCCCCAACAAGAATTTCTGTAGCCCTTTAGCGTTGGCTATCGTGGCTTCTCTCCCAAAAAGCCTGTTTTCATCCCCGTTTTTAAAAATGTAGCATTTTCTTTATTTCTCGAAAGTTCATTAATTTGCAGAATTTCTTTTTTTAAAACACAGCTTAGAAACCTCAGATTTTTCCAAAGGCCACACAATGGCAGTTAAAAAGTTGCAAACAGAAGGATGTTATGCTTTGTTCAGTTACAACCTCAAAAATTAGATCTTTCCTCTCTCCCTCTGTCCCTCCCTCCCTCCCTCCCTCCCTCCCTCTCTCTCTGTGTATGTGTATGTGTGTGTGTTTTTTTTTCTTTTTGAGTATGCTTAGAACTGGGACACGGGAAACATTTGAAACATTTGTTTCTACTGGAAGAGCGATCTGAGCCAGTATTTGGGTGTTTACTCAGAAGAGAATCCCACTAAATTCAGTGTCATTTGTTATAAAGTAACTCAGTAAATCCTAGTAAAAGCTGCACAAAGATCTAGCTGCTTGTCCCAGTTAGAGGAGACCCCCCATATCTGTTCCAATTCCCCCCCCCCGGGATACTGAAAAACATGGTTTATAGTGAATGCTATACAAAGCGTGGTCTATTGGCCAGTTCTGGTAACTTTCATATTTAGAAATATATCTTTCTAGGATTTTTCTTTTAATATTTTTCAGAGAATTGAATCAGTGGATACCGATCCCGCAGATACGGAGGTCCTACTGTCGAAGTATTGACCTGCCATTGGTTTAATGGGTTGACTTTAGATGTTATGTGTCTTTCAATGTTCGGCATGACTATGTTAATCATGTCTGACACGGAAAATGACTAGGAAGGATTTTCTCTCTCGTTTCTTCCTGAATGGAACATTTCTCTCTCTCTCTCTCTCTCTCTGTCTCCCTGTCCCCCGCGCTGTNTCTCCCCCCTCTCTCTCCCTCTGTCTCTCTCTCTCTGTGTGTGTGTGTGTGTGTGTGCGCGCGCGCGCGCGTGCGCGCGTGCATGTATGTGTACACTCTCATTACAGACTGGAGATTTGAACTAGGATCTCCTTAATTTTGTCCCAAAATGAACAAAGTGGAAAGAAATTAAGAACATCTCACTAGCTTTCTGGGTTGCATCCCTGGTTAGGATGATACCTCCCCGGCCCCTCCATAAATTGCTTAACTGTGATGACTCCCTCTGTCACTTCAAGCCTATAAAGTTTTTCAAAGTGTGACTACTGGGCTGTGAATTCCTTTCAGGTCATGTACACAGGGCTGCGGGGTTTTGAATTTCTGGTTAAATTCCTGTAGCAGAAGTGGAGGGATTCACAGAGCAGACTAGCTTCAAGTGCTCCAGAGAAGGCCACCCCTTTTCTAATTCACTGGCCCTTGCAGTCTCAACTCACTGAAACATTTGTAGGAGAAAGAATCTAAACCAGCCCTGCCCCAGGACTCACATACAGGGTTTGAACCATGTATTCTCTGCCCTCAAACAAGGCCGTGCCCCTGTGACTCTAAAAGTAACTAAAAAGTTACGGCCACCTGGTGGAAGGAGTGACGTTCTTCCTCATTAAGTTATTGCCACCGTGAAACTTAATTGGACTTTCTGTGTTGGGGAAAATGAATTAATTACAGGTAATTTGTTATTCCTAGTGAGTTACTTTCAATCTGTGTCTCTTTATGTTTTTTAAAAAAATCAAGTCGCTCTGGGTTTCAGCCCGAACTTGACAAGCGCTAGTCAAGGTTTTGCACCACAGGCCTCAAATAGGTTTCACAGCTTCGACAGCTTTTGATGGTTCTGAGCTCGGCGACATCAGGTTACCATACCGGGGGCTCCCCATGGCAAATCTTTGGAGTTACACCCTCACCCACCCTGTATGGAGAGCCCCCAACTCAGAGTACGGTGCTCACTCCATATCAACAAAGGAGAAACAGGTCTTTTGTAAAGCTAATAGCTCTCAATTCAAGACGGAACGAACACATTAAATGTTTTGCTTTCGCACACAGACCCTGGCAAAATGACTCAGCAAAAAAAAAAACCCATACTGTACCGCAAGACAATACAGAATGTTTTAAAAAGATCTGAATTGAATTTCAGTTCAGATTTAAACCTCCTAAGGTCTAAAATAGATCATGCATGCATCCACGTTCCCACCTACTTTCGAGACAGGATGGAGGCTGGCAACACTCCCTGGAAGTGGGAGGGGTACCGAGAGTGGGTCTCTCTTTTTAAAAAGTAACTTTTCCAAGCTCTTTAAGAAAACTAGGCACACGATCTGTGTAGGAAGCATGGGGCAGAAATGAATAGTGTTGCTACTTGTTTTGAATGGGGGGGGCTTTCTGTCCACGCGTTTTCCTGCTCTCCAACCCCATATCAGTTGTTTTCTCATATCTAAAAGTGTGCAGAAATACACATTGCTGTATCGGGTTTCTGAGGACGGAAACCCACGTCCATTTCTCTTTTTTAATGCCTTGAACCCGGGGTGAGCTGATTTGTTTCTAAAGCCTATTCAGCTGCTCTTGGTGTTGTGTTTGAGGGTGCTGGGTATCTCAATGGTTTTCTGGCCACGGAGCCAGAAGTGGCGAGTTCGATTCCCCCACTGGGGCTGGACTGGATGACCTCTAGGGTCCCTTCCAGCTTGGCTTTTCTAAGGTGATGATTTAAGGTGGCCTTTAAGACCCTCATGGGCTGCGGAGTCATCCGCGACCATAGAATTAATAAATCACAACCGAAATTCTCGGGGGGGGGGCCAGAACAGCAGTTCCACGTAAACCACCCGCTTAAGTCTGATCCGCGTGGTGGGGGACCGGCCCGGATTCTCCCTCCCTCCTTTTTAAACCAAGAGGGACTGCCTGGGATTAGTCATGCTCTCGAAACAAAGGGGCAAGTGTGCCCCGGACTGGAGGATGGGGCTTTGGGCATCATGAGAGCGCTCCCCAGAGCGGCTTAAGGGGGGGGGGCTTGCCAAAGCCGGATCCGAATCCAGATCCCTCCCTTTCGCTCACCCGCCGTGGCCGAGGGGGAGATTTTCAGGAGGGCCAACCTCTGAATGCAGCAGTCTTAGCCAACCTCCGGCCCTGGCACCCTCCCCAATGATCGCCTTGCTTTCAGCAGGAAAGAGGATGCGAGAGCAGCACCACCGAAGAGTTCTGTGTGGCTCCTCCATCCGTTCTGGAAACGCGTGGCCCGTTTGAGGCGCCTTGTAGCTCGGAGAGAAGGCCCGGCCGCCTTCTTTCTTTCTCACGACGGACACCAGGCCTGATTTGTACATGTTGACTGGTAGAGCTGGCTGGTTAGCTCAGTGAGTTAGCTCTCCGGCTGTGGAGTCAGAGGTTGGGAGTTCGAAACCCCCACGGGGCCTCCTGCAAGCAAAGCCAGCAGAGGTAGCCTTGGGCAACCGGCCCAGTCCCTGAGATAACCTTAGAAGAAAGAAAGGGGAAACCAGGTCTGAAAAGGTTCGCCATAAGTCAGAATTGACTTGATGGCTCGTGTTGATGATGATAATAATGATGAGGTACTGGTGCAATCCCAGAAATGATCTTTATGCACTGCCCTTTGTTGGGGGTGGGAACCATGACCAGGTGGCCCATGTGTCTGCTCCCCAGGCGCTGCTCTCTGTGGATGATGGGCAACAGGGTTCCCTGATCTCTTTCTGTGTACTTCTTTCTCTTTAAATCTGCCTTAGATGGGAGCGCATTCGGATCGTGATCTCTGGCCCTCCGAGTCATGGGGACCCTTTTTAGGGTTCTGATGCACCCAGAAGTGTTTTCCTGTTTCCTTCTTCTGGAGGTGCTCTGGGACCGCCAACACCCCCCCCCCATGCAGCTTGCCCGGGGCCACCAAGGCTGGCTGCCATCATCCCATAAATTGAGTCACTTGTCATCCCTGGACTTTCCATATAAATCCATAAAATTTATTCACCAACCCCCAATCACCAGGATCTGCCTCATCCTGAGTCAAAGGATAACTCTGGTGTCGTCTACCCAGCTCATGGGCCTTAAGAGGGTTTTAGACGGGGGTCTTTTTCAACACTCCCCTCTCCGCTGTCCCTCCTGCTCTGCTGCCTGAGACGAGGGTCCTTCCTTCCTCACAGGACCGCCGGCCTTGGGAGGGAGACAGGTCAGGATACGTATTCTGCCTTCATTCCGTCTGCTGTGTTTTTACCACCACCCCCGCTTTTAACGCCACCCAGCAGTGACTTGACCCCAACTGAAGGTCCCTCTTAGCATTCCAGTGAAAGGAAAAATTATTTATTGGCTGTTTTGAAGGGCCGGGAAGGGGGTGTGTGTCTTCAGGCAGTGCTGAGAAAAAACCTATTTTGGACTCCCAGGTGAGTCTTTGTAGGTGAGATCTGGGCCTGTTGGGGGGGCAATTCTCTCCCCCCCCCAGTGGTCTTTTGTGGGCTGCGCTTTCTTCCCAAAGCCACATTTCGCTCCCTGTTTTGCACGCACATGCCGGAAACCTCCGAGAACGAGGAATGGGTATCCCTCACATGGACTACGACTCCCCTCAGGCCTGGCCAGAGATGCTGTCAAGTCGGATTTAAGTCGCACTGACAACTAGACTCGGAGCCCACCCTCCCCGTCACCCTTTTTTTCCTGAGGGAAAGGGCTGGTTTTTCATAGGGGCTCAGACTGGGTGCCAAAGACTGGCCCACATCCCCTGGCCGTAGACATTGTGGCAGGCCATGAAGGATGATGGGGGCTGCCGTGGACCTGCATGGCTTGGGGTGTCTCAACACAAGAGGCGAGGCCTGTGACGACCGTCGTCCCTTGATGCTTGAGGTTTTGGCCTTGCTTGGCGAAATGGCTGCCAGGGTCTGGTCCCCCAGCCGTGCTCTGTGGCATTGTACTCATCCTGGCTTAAGAGGTTGTTAAATGAAATGAATCTGTGACATTCAGAGCCATAAGAGGGGCTTAACCGGGGGGGGGGGACTTTGGGTGTGTTGTGCATGTGTTCCCTGCCCGGAAATACCCCCCAGACTGAACGCTCTCCTTCTTTCTCTTTTCGGCCATTCTCTCTCCACCCATCCCCTTTTACAGCAGATGACGGCCCGGCTGATGCTGGCAGTGAGCGGCGCGGTCATCGGATCCTTGCAGTTTGGTTACAACACCGGCGTCATCAACGCCCCCCAGAACGTAAGTGTGCACATCTTGCGACTTCTTGGCACCTAGCATTGTGGGGGTAGACTGCCTTTCAACCTGGAGGCTCTATAGAGTCACAATCACTAATTATTGTGTAAACCCAAGCTAGTAGCCAGGATTCAATTGCTCATCTGTGGACTCGGAGGGTGGGGATTATCACCATCATCCTTTCCTCCCCGCCACATATTTGTTCACTGTGTGTACATCACCCATAGAGAGAGTTTGCTTATTCCCACTCACCCCTTGCACCCAGCAGATACTCCCAGATGAGAATTGCGGATGATTGGATGGGGGCCCCTCTAAGATCATCCAGTCCAACCCCCTGCTCAAGGCAGGAATCCGAATCAAAGCAGATTGGGCAGGTGGTTAGTTGTCTAAATTTCTCTTGAATGTCTCAATCGTTGGAGACATCGCTCATCATCTCCCGAACTCATGGGTTCCCTTGTCGTACTGCTCTAACAGTTAAGAAGTTTTCTTGATATTCAGTCTATATCTGTCTTCCTGTTGTTGTTGTTGTTGTTGTTGTTGTTGTTGTTGTTGTTGTTGTTGTTGTTGTTGTTGTTGTTGTTGTTGTTGTTGTGCCCTGCACTCTGGGTGAGCAAGACCAGCTCCTGACCTTCCTCCGAATGACAGCCTTTCAAGTCTTTGAAATGTGCTCTCCGATCTTTCCCTCCGTCTTCTTTTCCCAAGAAAAGATCTTTCTTGGGATATTTCCGTCTTTCCTATTGGGATGGGTAACCTCAGAGTTCACGTTTCCTCCTTCGAAACGTCACCAACCCCTCCCAAGGAGTGGGGGGGAAAAACAACCACCCAAAATCCTAGATGAATAGAGGTCTGTTCCCAAATCTGAGGGGTGCAGGAAGCGCTTAAAAACCAGAACAGGGCTGCCTTGTGTTCGAAAGAGGGGTGGGCTGCTCGGGAGGGTGGGAACCAACCCTCCCGCTTTCTACACCCAGCCGTGAAAGTGTGAGGGGCATAAAAAGAAAAACCCAAGCGGGGTCTGGCTTCTGGAATCCTCTTTCTTTTTTTCCCTTTCTTGTTTGTTGTATTTATTTGTTTTTTTAAAAAACGGAATAGTCTGAGATGGGGTGTCAGAAGCACTTAAGGTTCGGCTTAGCCTGTCGCCAGAGCAGATGGTCTTTCTTTAAGGAATGAAATCTCCCCTGAAATCCCGTTGTAAGTTTGCCGTTTAAGTAGGCCCCTTTTGAGCCTCGGGAAGGGCTGTGGATTCAGCGTGTTTACTCCCCGATCTATAGGGTCCCTTCTAGCTCTGGAGTTCAAAGATGATGATTGTTATAGAATTGCTGGAGAGCTTCATGGAGCCAGAGGTTGGGAATTCGAATCCACCACTGGGCCTCCTTGACGGGGCTGGACTGGATGATCCACAGGGTTCCTCAGTTCAAAGATGATGATGATGATGATGATGATGATG